AAGAGTAGTCTTACAACAGGTGGGGAGGATTTATGTAGGAATTTGGTGAAGAGTAATACTGCTTTAAAAAAAGAACATAAAGAAAAATGGCTAATGAAACGGTTGAAAATATATGGAACAGAGCAGAAGAAAGTTTTGAAAGGGACACAGGCAAACAGAAAGTGTTGGTACTTTCTTGTTAAATTTAATGTATCTTAACATGCTAAAACATGTTAAACATGCTAAAAGTTCACAGTTTAATATATAGTCTTTTTTCTGTTATCTTTATACATAGAAATGTTCAAGTTTGTTGTCTCACATTCATAATTTAAAAAAAAGATTTAAAAAATGGTTTCAGAAAAAACAAGAAAGACTTACATGAACTGTTACTGAGTGAAGTGAGCAGAACCAGGAGAACATTGTACATAGTCACAACATCGTGTGATGATCAACTTTGATAGACTTAGCTCTTCTCAGCAATACAATGATCCAAGCCAATTCCAAAAGACTCATGATGGAAAATGCTATCCACATCCAGAGAAATCTTAAAGATTTCTTTCATCAGAAAGAACTGATAGAGTCAATACAGATTGAAGCATTCTATTTTCACTTTGGTTTGTTTTTTTTTATGTTTTTTTTCCTTATGTTCTGTTTCTTCTTTCACAACATGACTAATGTGGAAATATGTTTAACATGATTACACATAACCTATATCTGCTTGCCATCTTGGGGAGGGGAAAGAAGAAGGAGGGAGGGAGAAAAATTTAGAATTCAAAATCTTATAAAAAATGAATGTTGAAAACTATGTTTCCATGTAATTGGAAAAAATAAAATACTATTTAAAAACAAGAACAACAACAAATAAACAAATACATATTTTACTATATATAGGGACTTTCTTTTTTGTCCTCAACCTACCTGGGTATATGCTTAGAATCTCTGAGTTATAGGATGTGCCCATTTTAGTCACTTGCTAAACATAATTACAAATTGTTTTTCAGAATTGTTGGAACAATCAACACATCTACCAACAGTACATTAGCAGATCTCTCTTTCTACAATCCCTCCAACATTTAATGTTATCACCTTTTGTCACCTTGGCCAATGTGATGAGTGTTATTTCATATTTGTCTTGGTTTGTATCTATTTTATTATTTATTATTAGTAACTGTGTGAATTCTTTCATGTGGTTGTTAATGGTTTGCCATTATTCTTTTGAGAACAGTGTGCTCATATCCTTTTGACCACTTAACTATTGGAAGAAATGACTTTTGGTCTTATATATTTTTCTTGGCTGTCTATATATCTTGGTTATCAGACCTTTGGACTCCAGAAGCATCACTGAAATGGAGAGCACAATTAGCATCTTATTGATCTGTAGCACTTCTGAGTCTAAGAGGGGTTAAGAAAAAAAGGGGCCTGGGCTGTCACTCCTGGGTACGGTACAGTGCCAGCCTGTCTAGCAAATAAAGCCTAGAACAGAGAAGGTGCCTCCTTGATTCGGGCCTGAATGGAGCTATAGACCTAGGTTCAGTTTCAGAGAACTAGAGTCTCAAGACTTTTTTGATTGCACACCCCCATCAGTAAAAATTTTTGATCACACAATCCTAATGTGTATATATTTACTTATTTATAACCTATACACTCATACTACTACACTAATAATTGTGTGAATTACAAGATATATAAAATATACATTTTAAAAGGAGAAAAAATGAAATGTTTTATTTATTAATGATATAAAAATCTTCTTGCTCATTAAGTATTAATGACATAATGACAGCAATATCAGACATGCTTCAGTATTTCTGAAAGTCTCGGTTTAACACTGCTGATACAGTGATTTGAAGGTCTGGTTCTAAGCTCAGTCTATTTCAGTTCTTGGGTTTAATGGTTGTCATTGCTGAAGAAGACAACTTCAAGAAGCATGGCAACACGGACTGAAGAAAGGAGGTGATTCCGGGAGCTCAATTGACTGGCCTGCCCAGCAGACAAATGCACAAAGAAAGTACTTTCAGGCTATGCAGTAACAGGAGTTAGTTGTGAGTTATCCTTTACCACATGTACAAGCTACCTTGGACAAAGTGTTTTCTAATCTCTAGGCCTCAGTTTAGTCATCTGGGTGATACCTAAACTATCTACATCAGAAGACCGTTGTGAGGATCAAATGAGATAATATAACAAAGTGTTTTACAAAGTCTCGATACCGTTACACTCTCAATTTGAGCTATGGATACCATGAACATTTGTGGAAGACTGTGCCCTAGGTTTTTTGCTTTGTATCGACCGTTCTTACCATTTTGGTGTTTAGTCATTTTAGTCATGTCCGACTCTTTGTGACCCCATTTTGGGGTTTTCTTGGCAAAGATATTGGAGTGGTTTGCCATTTCCTTTTCCAGCTCATTTTATAGATGAGGAACTGAGGCAAACAGGTTTAAGTGACTTGCCCAGAATCTCACAGAGAGTGTCTGAGGCCAGATTTGAACTCAGAAAGAGGAGTGAGTCTTCCTGACGTCAGGCCCAGCACTCTATCCACTGTGCCACCTAGCTGCCCCTGTTTTTACGACACGATCTTAGTAAATGATTTTGCTAAGAACTAATTATGTCTACTGGCTGATTATTAATTGGAAGCATGCTGGAGGAGGCTCGTGAAAATAGTGGTAGGAGTAACTACCCACAAGGTTATCTCTGAAACCTAAGAGTAGATAACCCTTGAGTCTGGGGACTCAACCCATGAATGCAAATGCAAGTTGGGGGAACAGTCTGTAGGAAGTGTTAATTTAGCATAATTTGCTTTGCAGCCCATCCAGTGATAAAGGCATGAAGTTATTGTCCATAAAATAGCAATGTGCTGGGAGATAGATATATATATACTTTAGTGAAAACTAACAAAATAGTACAGAGAATTGCTTCAAGAGTTAAATCATAGTAAGGTGAGACAATACAAGTTAAGTAAAATGACAGGGAGTAGTTATTAGTCACTCCCATCTAGCTAGAAATATAGACTAATTAAAGATTTAGGAGATGCCTTTGCTGTGCAAAGAAGGACTTCACCATTAAGGATCAGATTTCAATATCTACATTCAGATCTTATTAAGCTGTACTTGAATCCCTGAAATAATGACAAGAGTGTGATAATACAGTGTTACTGCATGAAGACCAAGTAGCACAGACCAAGAAGGATACATGCACCTTTTTAATAGCAACACTGGCCTTGTAAGCATCAGAAAGTTTTCTCTCAATGGAGAAACAAGGGCCTCTTTCAGGAAAGCATAGTTCATATGTGTAGGGAGTCTACAATGTAAGACTTATGGCTAAGTCCCCACTACCTATATTCAGCTACCATTTAAACCAACAATGTAGAGACCCTTATGAGACCTGCTTATGGCAGGGTCCTATAGCTTCAGATACTGACACATCTTAGACTTAGGGAACCACTCAGAAGGTGTTGTCAAGAACATTGGCGATTATGAAAAATATTCATCAGCACCAACATCAGCACCTTTGGTATTCTGAAGGAGCATGGCCTGGCATATACAACTTCTCTATGGTCTCACAAAGAATAAGGTGACACATACAACATAAGATAACACAGAGACACAGAGGGAAAGCTACCCCAAAACAGAAGACCCTAGAAACCACGCTGCTTGGCCATGGTAAGTCCCATCTAGCTCTTTCTATTCCAAAATAATAATTTTTGCAATCAAGTGGCAGACTTAAAACATCAACAAAAAAGCCCTGCTCCTCTCCATATTTGTCTGCTAGTTGTAAGCGGCTCTGGCATGTTAGAGAGCAGCCGCTAGCTATAGTTATCCTTCAGCGTTACTGACAGTGGCTGATGTCTTCCCACTCACCATATATGCTCAGGCCTCTGCAAGGCCCTGAACTGAGGCCAAAGTCTAAGGACTCTTGCCATTGTCTCCGACAAGCTGAAAACAGGGGACTCCTCTTTAACAGAGGAGTATACATTTCCTAGTATTAGGACACCTGGCAGGTTATACTAATGCAATTGATTTTTAATTGTCTGAATGTTACATATGAAGAATGAAGCCCACGGTTTGATTTTAGGTTGGCTCACAATTTGCATTCCCAGCACACTGCTGAGCCATTTCTTTTTGGCGTTAGGGATGACCCTGGTATAGACAAAGGACATAATTTTAATATTGCCTTCAGCCACACCTACTTATGAAGGTAAATTGCTGCTATAAAAACAAAAACTCCAACTCCAAATCATATAATATATTCTGAAATCAAACTAGAAGAATATTTGAATTTTCTATTCTTTTGGGTTATCTATACTTCTCCCTCTCTCTGAGCATAGACAACTCAAAATAAACTGTCTTAAAGTACTTCACCTAGAATTAAAATAATAAACACCTGTCTCTGTGGCAAGATGACAGTCACAAGATTCATAAACCATAAAAGGCTACTTCTTATTTGGATAAAATAAAATCTAGTGTTTAAGATATATGTAACAAATGTACTTGGGGAGAGCAAGGTATATGAATAGAAGGCTAGCCTCTAGGGCAGAAGAACTGAGTTTAAGTCCTTCCTCTGAAATATGCTAGCTATGTGACCATGAGCAAATAAGTCACTCGCAGGATCCCAGATGACAAACTCTACATAAATGACAGAGGAGTTGATGACCTATAGCAATGGAGGAGTTTCCATGCTTGGAGTTCCCCGTAACAATTGAAGCACACATCTAGACTACAGGGGAAAAAACTAAAAAAAATCATTATATATACTTTATTATATATACTTTAGATAATTACATACATTATAAATAAAGTACATGTTGAAATGTATATTTGATATAAACTGTGGGGGGAATATAAAGTATTATTACATAATGAAACAATATAGAAATATAAAAAATATGGTTCAGTATTAAATTTAAACTGTATACCTAACCTGTCAGAACTCTTTCATACCAAGAAAAATTGCTGCTATGCAAAATTCAGATAATTATGTGACATGAAGATGTGAAAAAGATACATTGCCTTGACTTTAATGCCACTTTATGTGGGCACAAATAAAATGATAAATACCATAATTATTATAATGTTTCCCTGTACAATATTCATTTCATTTTTGCCTGCAGAAACTTCCTGCAGCCACTCATTTTTTATCCATGTTTCATATAACCGCACCTCAGTATAAATGCCAGGGAAAAATGGTCTGCCACAGCCAACTCCAGCACTGGTAATACCCATTAGAATAAATCTTTCATTTTCTGGAAAGTAACACATCAAAGGACCTCCGCTGTCACCCTATGAAAAATAGGACCCCAAATACAGTTAGTTAATTCAATTACCTTTCTTAAGTTGCAAAAAATGTAGAATTTTAGTAACATACTACATAATACCAAGTTATTAAAGTATGCACATTCTACTTATCCTTGATCTACTAATATCTCTTTCTTTTTTGATCACTTCTTTAATGGGAGGTTCTTCAAGGTAGGATTAGAAATAAGCTTTCCACCTACCTGGTTTTGATCTGAAATAATAACAGCTGATGCTTACCTAGCACTTTACAAAGCTTTACATACATTATTTTATTTAATTCTAACACTAATTCTGGGAAACAGATGATGCAAATATTACCTCCATTATAGTACCTGGAGCTCCAATAAGTGTTACTACATCTTTGAGGCCCTTTATGAGTCAGAAGCTACTAAAAATCATAGCTCATGAACCCCTAATAATGTATTTACTTTTGCCAGACAACAATAGCACACTTAGTTTAATGTGAGCAGCATAACAAATAAAGTGATAAGAAAAGATTTCCCCCCATACCTATACAAGCAAATGGGGATATGCCCTCCCACATGTTCCCAAGTGGAGAGAGGGCACACACATATAATATGCGTGACCAAGGAATAAATACTGAGGATGTACTGTGTGGCCCAGGCACTGTAACAAATTTCTCTGATAAAGAGCTTATATCCAAGATACATAATGAATTGATAAAGATAGATAAAAACTAGAGCCATTCCCCAATACATAAATAGTTAAAGGATAGGAATAGGCAATTCTCAAAATAAGTACAACGTAAACTATCAACAATCATTTGAAAAAATACAACAAACAAATATTAATGAGATATGCAAAATTAAACCAACTCTTTGGTTCCACCTCATATCCACGAGATTGGTGAAAACGACAAATGCTGGAAGGGCTTTAGGAAGACAGTCATGTGTTGCTGAACCTATGAATTGGTCCAAGCATTTCTGAAAAACAATTTGGAATTATATTCCAAAATTCACTGAACTGTTTATATCCTTCCTCAACGATGCCATTACTAGGATTATACTCAAAAGGAATCAAAGATAGAGGCAAAGGACTTATATATACAAAAAACGTTTATAGCAGCACTTTTCACCAGAGTAAAGAACTGGAAACAACGTGGGTACTCATCACTGGGGAATGCCTGAACAAATTATGGTATATGAATATAATATTGTTGTGCTAAGAGAAAAGGGACACATTCTTCATCATTTCTGAAAATCTTGGTTTAACATTTGGTGATACAGTGATTTGAAGGTCTGATTCTTTCAGTACTTGGTTTTTAATGGTTGTCAACTGAAAAAGAAGTGCTATATATTTACTAAAGAAACTTAGAAAGACTTATATGAAATAATGCAGAATAAAGTGAGAATAATTAGGAGAACAATTATTATACTGACTATAACATCGGATAGGACATTAACTTTGGAAGACTTAAGAACTCTGATCAATATAATGACCAGTCACAACTCCAGAAGATTAGAGATGATGCATGTTTCTCACTTCTTGGCGAAGAGGCAATGGACCGTACATACAGAATGAGACATTTTAAGACATTTTAAGAAATTTCAATTAATATCAGCTCAGATTTTTTTAGACAACAAAGGAAGCATTTCAAAATTGTTCAAAATACTGTTCAAAATAGAAAGCTTTTTAAAAGTAATCAGATTGGACACCAAAATGGCATATTCTGTAAACACAAACTTATTGTTTGAAAAAGAAGACTTCAATGGCAAACAATATCTAGAATAATTTTTTAATTTAAACTTTTTTCAGTCAACAAAAAAAGTTCTTTCCTCTCATCTCCCTTTTGAAAAACCAAAAAAAACCAAAACTCATAACAAAAATATGCAGTAAAGCAGAGCAAATTCCCAAACTGGCCATCTCCAAAAAATATTTATCTCATTCTACATCCTAAGTCCATCATATGTCCGTCAGCAGGTAAGTAGCATGTTTCAACCTAGGTTCTCTGGAATGATGACTGGTCATTGCATTAATGATAATTCTTATGTCTTTCAAAGTTGTTTGTTTTTACAGTGTTGTTATTGTATAAATTGGCCTTCCGGTTCTGCTCACTTTACTTTGCATCAGTTCATTAAGTCTCCCCAGGAGTCTCTGAAATCATCCTTTTAATAATTTCTTATGACATCATTATTATATTCATATACCATAATTTGTCCGGTCATTCCCCAATTGCTGGACACCCCAGTTGTTTCCAGTTCCTTGCCAATACAAAAAGAATTATTATAAATATATTTGTATTTAAGAGTCCTTTTCTTCTTTCATTGAGTAATAGGCTAATGTTTCATGTTTTAAATATTTGTCACTGAATGCTTAGAAGTCTTTTGATTTTAAGTATTTCTTAGGTGGTGAAGGAAATAAATAGCTGCCCTAAACCTATGCAATGAGTAACTTTTCTAGAAGGGATCCTGTTGATTCCTTCTGGGAAGAACTTAAACATGTGCCATCCCTAAGCTTTATTTAAGAGATTGTCCCTAGGACTCTGAGGTAGGGGCAAAATGATTCATAGGGCACAGAAGGAAAAAACAAACAAACAAAAAACCTGAATCGCCTCTCTTTGGGGTCAGACTCCCGGGGGGAATGAACCTGGTCTTAAGAGTCCAGAGCTGGAGTTCTTCAGGGGGACATAATGCCTCTGCTTGGAGTGACACTTACAAGAGCACTGGATCTGTCTACCAGCCAAAAATCTCCTGGAAAATTATATCATTATTTTATATTTTAAAGGATCTTAAATATTTTAAAACTCTAAAGTCTTACCATGCAAGTATCAACATTTCCAAAACTTTCACCTGCACAAAATGAAGTATTAGGAACTCTTCCTGAATAACTTCCTACTGCATTACACATATCCCAAGGAATAAAATGTATTTCAGCCTCTTGTAATAAAGGTGTCAGTGTACCTGTAACGAAAATCCATATATGATTTAAGGCATCAGTCCTCTTTTTCAATGAGAGGTGAACTAAGAATCTTGGAGATTAAGTGACTTACCCACGGTTACTTAGCTAGACTGTCAGAGGCATGACTTGCATCTGTGTCTGCCCCGACATATCTCTCCAGCCCCATTGGACATTATTCCCCCTCCCACACTCTGATCTCCGCTCCTCACCCACACCATTCCAGCTCCGTCTGTGTGCCTTTGTCCTGCTTGTCCCACACGCACGAAACAACTTGCCCCTCACCTCTGCCTCACAGTCTTCCTTTAAGATTCGGCTCAGACACCATCTTCTACATGAAGCCTTTCCTCAAACCCCCACCCCCCGACTGCTATTACCCTCCCTCTCAACCTATTTTGCAGTTAACAACTTTCTGTAAGTTAGTTACATTAAATTCATATAGAATATGTATATATATGTGTGTGTGTGTGTGTGTGTGTGTGTATGTGCACGTGTATTTTATATGTACTTTCTGTTATCTCAATAGGATGTACTCTCGTGAGTAGGAATTGTTGCATTCTTTCTACTTGTATCCCTAGCACTTACCGCATAATAAGCTAACACAGCACCTGACATTTTGTAGGCACATAGCTTAATAAATACTTGATTGATTGATTCCTGTCTCTTAGGTCAGCCTTTTATCCACTATGCCAGGCACTACTTTCATACAGCTGGCACTAAATATTTATTGAATAAATGATTGAATTAAATTTGTCAATGACACAAAGAAAGGTAAGTGAATTTCTTAAGGAACAAAACTTGAATTTACTTATATACCTTTCAGTTTTGCTACTTCCTGAATCCAAAACAGACTGCCAGAATGACACATGCCAAGTACCTACCACTTAGAGACAGATTCACGCTGATTTTCCTGCTTCCTCAAGCTGGGGAAGAAGAATCTACAGGGGAGCAGCTATAGACCTGATTTCCCTGCCTTTCACACACTGTTGCCAAAGTTGTCTAGAAAAATGCCATCTGTGTGTCTAGATGAAAGCTACATGACTCACAGACCTAAGATATTCTCTAAGAAAATGGTTCCTGTGACCTAGAATAACCAAATAAGAAAGACGGGAACAATTGACTTCTCATCTCTGCTTGGATTTCTTACCGACATCTGAAATATTTTTTGAGGTTTGTAATTGGTCGGTTTGGTTTGGTTTTTGACCAAATCTGTGATTTCATCGGTATATGGAGCGCCCAAGGAGGAACTTCCTCTGTCACAGCATATCAGCCTCTCCCCTTCGAGAGTTGCCTGGGGCCTGGAGAAACCAACAGCTGAAATATTAAGTCTTCATCTTCCTCCAATGTCCCTGCTGGCATTAATGGCACAAACATTTCCCCTGTTCCTGCTAAGCTCCTGATCTAATAGTCACTTTCAATTCTTTGCTCCTCACCACACTCTACCCCATTTCTAATCTTCACTAAATACCGTTGATTCTTTTTTCTACCCCTTAGATTTGTACATTAGTCTACAATAAATTCTAGATGATCTACAGCTGACTTTCTACATTGTAGAGGAAGAAGTGCTACTCTGACTTTTTTTGAGAGTTTATAATTTCTTTGCATTAAAATTAAATACTTTTGTTTACATTGGGACATTTATATTTCCACCTACTTCCATGGTCCAGTCTTGCATGGAAACCATGGAAATGTAACACAAACAACACACTGTCTCCCAGATCACATGTGAGGTAAAAGTGCTGCTTCGCATCCTTTTGAGAGGGGATACTGTGCATTTCTACCACTAAATGGTTTAAAGGTAGAAGAAGTAGGATAACTGAATGAGCTCCTCATGATATTTCCAAGACATTCCAAAACCAAATGCAAGATGCTTAAATCATCTGCCTTTCGACAATCCTTCTCTATTTGCCATCCCTAGTTAAGATAAATGAATTTTCACCACAGCCAGGTTTTTATTACCAAACATTTGTCATTGAAATAGTTCCTTTTAGGGGCAGCTAGGTGGCGCAGTGGAGAGACCTCTAGCCTTGGAGTCAGGAGGATTTGAGTTCAAATTTGACCTCAGACACTCGACATTTACTAGCTGTGTGACCCTGGGCAAGTCACTTAACCCCAACTGCCTCACCAAAAAAAAAAATAGTCCCTTTTAATAACCCTTTTTGTCGCTCCAAATTATTCTATCAGAGCACTCCTTTCAACACCGTCTTTATCCCCTTAGCACTTCATAAACTATAAAGCAGCATTTAAATGTAAGGTGGTATTATTAACATCAATGGACGTCTAAATGAAACCCAAACCTCTCACTAACCTTCAAAGTTGCCAACAAGTCACCATTATTGCCCCGACTCTCCATAATCTCATTTGTCATCACCCTTAGCAAAGCAATCTAAATAATATCCCTGTGTAATTAATATGGAACTAAATAAGTTCCCTTATTCCAACCTCTTCCTATATTTTTGCCAATCACTTCCCTCGTCTAAACTTGTCCCGGCTCCCACCCTTCACCACTCCTCTCCCCTTCCAATATCCTGGTTAAAATTCACCTCCAGGAATCTTCCTCAAATAGTCTCACTCTACCCTGACAACTCCATGACTCGGCACTCCCTGAATACTCGTGCACCATTGGGACTGTACTCGTACGCACTGCAAAGCATCAATCAACTAGATCACTGAAGGAGTAAGAGAAACTATTCAGGGTTGTATGATCTGAGGGGCATAGACCAAAAGCAGAAAGGGGCCTCAGTAGACATCGAGTCCAGCCCTCTCACCTGACAAATAAGGAAACTGAGGCCCAGGGAGGTTACACGATTTTCCCAAGGTCATACATGTAGCAAGTATCAGAGCCAGGATTTGAACTCCGTTCCTCTGACTCTAGGCCTAGAAGTCTTTCTATTGTATTCTCAATTTTCCTAAAATGTGTACTTTCCTAAGTAGAGTATTCAGAACATAAATGAATCTTTCGTTGCTATCTGAAGAACGTACAGTAGCTTAGAACACTTTTATGAGCTATTGTACATAGATGCTAATGGTAAAAGAGGGGAAGCTGAATGTGTACTGATGTACTTTGGAACTTGCTTTTTTAAAGAACTATGTGGTATTGATTTGTATTTTTTCTGATGACATTTTCTGAGAAAAGTAGAGTACAGTAAAAAAATTCACTTCAGTGAGTTCCATTTAGTTGGGTTCTAGTTAATTTAGGCTTTACTCCATGGAGCTTGGGAAATGTTCTCAGGTCACAGGTTCATTTAGACCTGGAAAAGGTCACATAGTCCAACCCCTTCCCTTCAAGGTGAAGAACTGAGGTTCAGAAAAATGAAATGATTTGCTCAAAGTCAGGCAAGTAGTGTGTAGCAGGGCTGGGACTTGAACCTAGGTCTTCTTAACTCTTAATTTATACTGCTATCCTACATGATTTGCCCTTAAGGCTTTCATGTGGGTAGGGCCTTTATTAATTAATCAACAATGTGTATTTGTCCTTTATTAATTAATCGATAATACAAATACCTAGCATATGCTCAGCCCAGTGCAAGATATTATAAGAAAGTCTTTGCCATTAAGTATTTCAAATTAGAATATAAATTTCTTTTTTTTTTCTTTTTTTGGTGAGGTAATTGGGGTTAAGTCACTTGCCCAGGGTCACACAGCTAGTAAGTGTCAAGTGTTTGGTCTGAGGCCGGATTTGAACTCAGGTCCTCCTGACTTCAGGGCCAGTGCTCTATCCACTGCACCACCTAGCTGCCCCTGAGAATATAAATTTCTTGAGAGCAAAACTACTTTTCCATTTCTTTGATAATACTAATCAGTTTAATTACATTTGTCAGGTACCTGTTAAGCAACGAGGACAGTGTTAGTTCTCTGGAGGAAACACACACACACACACACACACACACACACACACACACACACTCACACAAGCTTTAGTACTTAGTTCTGGGTTTACAATCTAGCTAAGAATACAAAATGTGAACAAATGAAAGTACTGAAGACATATATCAACAATGATACAAATTAATTTAGTAAAAAAGAAACATATAAATACTGAGTGTGTCAGAAAAGAAAGAGGGATAATGGTTTGAAATGGACATGAAAAAGGATTTTATAGGAATCAAGGGGAGTTGCACTGTGGGGGGCAGGAAAGGAATGGGGACAGTTCATTAGACCTAATTGGTGTTTTGGAATAGATCTTCAGCAAAAAGACTTTCTAAGACATAATTTATGTCTTGTATTGGGATACTAAGTTATATGAACTTTTTTTTCTTTCTGAGAATTCTTTTTTTAAAATTTACTTATTTTTACAAACATTATCTCTCCCTCCCACTGTCCCTCGTTAAACAATTTTTGTTTTAAGAAAAAGAAAACCCTCATAACCAATATGCATAAACCCAGCAAAACCAATCCCCACATGGGTCAGTCATGTGATCCTTGAGGCTTAAAAGGATGAATGCAACCTGAAGAGGCAGGAAAATTATACTTTCTAACTGTTAAAAAGAAAATCAAGCTTAAGGTTTGTTTTTAATCCATTAACTAAAATAAAAGTGTATCACATATTAATAAAATTAAGTCAATATTTACCTTCTTCTGTCCTTTTTCCCCAACCACTTATGAAGCACCGTTTGGTATTGTCTAAGGGCACATCATCAAAAAATGGCAAACAAATAGGCTGAACAAAGTCATTGTAAGTCACAGGATTTTTTAAATGAATCAGTGCAATGTCATTTTCAAAAGTATTATGCTTGAATTCTGGATGGATGACGATGAAATCAATTTGTATTTTCTTATGCTTCATACGGTTCTGTAAAATATTGTTAACTCCAATTACAGCTATCCAAAATTCTGGCTCTCTGTAATAAAGCAAATGCCTTGATTATACCACTGCATATTTAACTAAAGTATATGTTTCAATACTTCACTGACTTTTTTTTTTACTTTGTAGTGTTAGCTTACATAGCTTTCTTATTTTAAAAAAAAAATGTGTATATGGTACAAACCAAATATACAAATAAAAAAGCAAAAAAAATCACTAAAATATTTTTCAATGGTCATTGGAAGTATTTTACAATATCTTCTCTATGTTCTAGAAATTCCCCACTACTGAAGGTATGTACGCAGATAGGCCAGGCAAGCACTTGTTAGGGATTTTACAAATGGTATTCATGCTTTGTAGATGGGGGTTGGACCAGATGATCTTTGAAGTCCCTTACAACTCTGGGATTCCAGAATTTAATGACCTTATAACGTCTCTAAAATCACTGATGAAATAGTCGACAAGTCTTTAATTTTAGGGAAAAGAAGGAAGTACAGGAAAAGAAAATAAATCTATATAAAACCAAAGAAGGCAACAAAGATTAATGAGGCAATGTAGTGGAAGAACTAAAGAAGAAAGATAAAACATAGTTGGAAAAACGAGGAGATATAGAATGGGAGGGTACAGACATTAGTACTCCATTAAAAACTCTCTTCTTTCTGGATTACAGTAGCAGTGATGGTCATCAAAATGGCATATCTCTCAGAATAACTTTCCTTACCCTATTCCATCACGGTCCATAACAATCAATGAGATTGTTATAACCATGTCACAATCTCAGTCTAGACAAAAAAGACAACTTCAGAGAACTTCTCAGTGTTCCTCTTCCTTTGGGGCCTCTCCATCATAAAGGATACCTCCCATAGGTTCAAATATTTTAACCTCATTTAGAACATGTTATTCCTGGAATGGATTTTATAGTTGACTTTCTTTCCCTGTAGACTGTATTCAGCAATAAGCTACTTCTGATGTGCCAGACGCTCTGACTTTTTGAGGTCCTTAGTGGGTTCCTTCAATAGCCCATGTATCCTACAACCTAGACCAGGGATGGGGAAATCTTTAGTCCATGGACTGAATTTACGCAGTCTGAAGACCAACTCCTCCAACTCCAGGCTACTGTGACTATCATATTGTAGTTGTAGTTGTTCACCCTCCATTTTTGAAGAAGACCAATGACATTACGGGTGATGTCTTGACCTTACTCCTGAATTGGATTGAAGTGAGGCAGAGCTGTACAAAGTCATCAGCCTCACTCTTTCTTCCAAAGTCATCAAAGTCCAGTGGCAAGACAAAAGTCAAGACAACTGGCGGTGTCCCAGAAGGCAAAGGTCTAGGCAAGGGTACAGAATTATTTCTACTGTAGTTCACTAATCACAGGAAGATTCATTTAAGGTTTTTTGCTTTGTTTTGTTTTGTCCAGATTTATAATTTCCTCTGTGTTGGGAACTCCCTAGTGTGGAAACTCCCTAAATCTTAGAGAACTCCCAGGGGCACCAAGAAGTCACATAACAAATATGTGTCAGAGGTGAGACCCGAGCCCAGTTCTTGCTGACAGGTTCAGTCTTCTACCCACTATACTCTTGTAGACACACAAGTAAAAAGCAACTTCTCTTGAGATTCTTGCTGTGTTTGAAAAAGAAACATAAAAGTTTCAATTAATCTGATTTCTAAATTAAGAGCAACTTTATTCCTCAAATCCTTTGACTTCTACTTGACTTAACTACTAGGGGGAAATGGGTAAAACCCCTAGTTCACTGGACACACTTTAGGGAATGGCTACTTTGCAAAGTCAAGTGAACGCTTGAGAATATTGACATGGTGATCAGAAAAAGCGATAGAAAGACACTCTCAAGGTCTCTCTTAAGAACTTTGGAATTGCTTGTGTGACATGGGAGACACTTAAACATGACCGCCCAGCACGAGGTGCCCTCATCAGAAAAGGTGCTGTGCTCCACGAGCAAAGCAGAATTGAAGCAGCTCAAAAGAAACACGAGATGCGCAAATTTAGAGAATCCACCCCAAACGTTCACATGGACTGTTTGTGCCTGACCTGTGGTAGAACATTCTGAGCTTGCACTGGTCTGATCAGCCACAGCTGGACACACTGTAACCTGACTCTAGCTTAGTGATGTCATTTTGGAACAACCAACTTTGCACCCTAGGTTTGAGCTGCCTCAATTCACTTAACTAGGTTCAAACTGCAACAGTCTGGCTCTAGCTAGCCAAGCCTCGAGGCAGCACAACTGGTCTCATTTGCTATTTGCATACATAGATATCCCCATAGTTTTTTCCCTAGTGCTCCTACACTCCTATGGAGGGATTCAGATATTCAAATAACAAAACAACTCTCACTGCTTGTTGTCCCCTTCATCCCACCGGATCCACTCTTTCTATCCCCTCTCAGTGTGACCACAAATAACTTTGATCTATATCAAATAATATTGATCTATAGATTACACGGAATTTTTACTACAGTGAAAACAAAAGGAACATGAACTTTGAACTCCCAGGCTAGAAGCTGCTCCAGTTAACATCCTCGTTTTCATCACTACATGCCCTACCCTCTTCTGCATCAGGTTTCTTCTTTGTTCTCCCTGGGAAAGACAGACAGTAGCCAGAGGAGTCTCTGGTTCCCTTCTCTGATCCCCCAAGCATAATAACAATGTTCTTACGCTTAAGGCCTTAGCCTCACTCAGTCCTAGATCAGGCTGGTTGCCAAAACACTTCCACAAGCTTGAGGATGTGGTTAAAATTCCAACTTTCAAGTGTTGAGGGCTGCCATATTCTGGGCCTTCCTGATTCTTTATTAGGCAATCTTTAGAGAACCCCTATTAGGGTTCCCCAATAGCATCCCTTGACCCCATTGCTCCACCAGTGACAAAGCAGCTTCCATGGCAGGACTGTGACTGGAAACCCTTCCCTAAGCCCCAGCCCTTAGGAGCTCCAGGTCTTTGACCTGAACACTTAGTCCACTGCATATCCAGGCCACTGCTCTGCTGCTATCCCTATGGAATGGTAAGTGGCAAGGGAAGCTACATTTGTCTCTGTCCCTAATTGAATCTCTGCTCACATCCTCTGATATTCTGTGTGGCTGTATCAATAAAACATCTCGAACTCATCCTAGTGTTGTGTCATTCATCTGATCTCCATTCCTGATGGTCTGTTGGACCTTTATATGGAAGAGCACTCAAACACCCTAAATCCAACATTTGTTGAGGGTGGTCGGGAGGAAGAGGAGAAAATCATCTCACTACCATGAACTCCCACACTCCCTGGATGTCACTGGAGCAACTGGTACTTGAAAGTCCTGGGCAGCCTGCAAGAGAGTTTTGTTTTCTGGATGGTGGTCCCTGGGAACTTCTGGCAGCTCCAATGTTTCAGCTCTTTTACTGGTTTCTTTCTAGTCAACCTCTCCCGAGGTCACTGCCAGCCAGAATGCCAGAATCACAACAGCAAGTTGCAAGCTGTCAGCTCCAAACCCAGAATGGCCAGAGAATGAAAGATCAACCCCATGACCAATCCAAAGTGCAGCCCCTCCATCTGGCGTAAGGTGTTCATGGAGCTTGAGGTTCAAAATGGGAAAGAAATGAAACGCTTGTAGACCAGTTAACAAAAGGCTGAAAAGGAGAGTTAACAAAGACAGATCAGGGATTCAGCAGAGTGCAGCTTTCCAGCTTATGCTGGCCCTGCTGGCTGCTTGTCAAACCCGAGGAATTAAGCTTCTAACTCTTCCTGTGCTGGCTTTTGGACTTAGTCTACTCCTAAGTTATGTCAACAGCCTGAGGCTCGGTCCCTGGTCCACGAAAGTCTCAAGGATGATTTCAATACCTCTGAGGAAAAAGCAGCTTCACTGATGTAACAAATACTGCTCCTACCACACCATCTTTTGGGAGTCCCTCATGAGCAGAACATCTTAGGTGAGTTCTTTTACTCCATTTATGATAATCTCCTATTTAATTTCATACTTCTTCTTTTTCTCTATCACCTAGAGATCAATGAAGTTCAAGGGGGAAACCCAACACAGATTGGAGGGCTACTTCTTCAGCAAGAGGTTGTATCCTTCACCCAAGGAGGTGAAGGGAGAGGGCACTCACCTTACTCAGAACTATTCTACATCCTAAATCTTTGATTCTGAATTTTCCTTCTCTGAATACCATCTCCTGACTCTCTAACTCTCAGTGAACTTGTTCTTCACCTCCTGGTGCCCTAACTCACCTTATTTCTGACTTTGTCACCTCTGTTCTAGCTTCACTTGCCCTCCTACCCAATCCTGACCCCATTAATCACTTGCCTCCAGGGCTAGCTTGCAATAAAAACTTGTCTCTACTCTTGAATACCTTGCCCTCTGGGAGTACTATCCTAAACTGCACCTAGTTAACTCATACTGTGAAAATTCTTTGAATTATGACTGGGTCCACTATAAATTCATTCTATCTAAATTTACCTGGGCCCTTACTGGTGCATAATAACTTCTTTATTCATTTACTGTTGACTCATCACATTTGCCAATGAGACTATTCCCAACCTCCTAACTCTTTTCAAGCACCCACCTCTAGCCCCACTCCACTACCCAATTTTAGGACCTTGCTTCCTGTACTGAGATAAAGCTCATCCAATGTAAATAAATAAAGCTAAATAAAAATAAAGCTCATCCTTTTCAATTCTCCCATTTCACATTTCAAAAGATCTCTGAATTCACATTCTCTGCTTCCATCCTGACTCAGAAGAAGATGAGGATCTCTGAGGAGGTATAACGTAGCAGGTCCAAACCTTGACCACCCCAAATTGTGGGATATACATATACCTGCCACAAAAGAGAGACACTTGGGGGAGAATCAAGTGAGACAGTCAGCTTCCTGACATTCTCTACATCTTACTTCCTAATATGATACTGACCTCCCTAGACTTAATCTCTGTTCCTATAACCAGCAATTATTGATTATTCAACCCCACAAATGTTGGCATTCTGAAGAAATACTAATTAATCACCAGGTTATGAGGTGGCACTAATAGATATTCATTGGTGAGTTCCACTTT